CTCTGGTGAATTCTCTCACGCTCCCGTGCTTCTGACTGTACCCAATACTTGTATAAATCAATCAATCAATCAATCAATCTTTAAAAAAGGAAACCATTTGAATTCTATTTTATAGCATTAAAGGATTGGAAAAGCTCTCATTTCTGAAATATTAGGGATGAAGACTTGTTTTTTGATAATAGAATGCATGCTAGTTAACTATTCTAATTTGGGCTTAAACTTTCAACAATGAGCTTATTTTCATAATGATTATTATGTTTATATAGAAAGACCATAGACCACACACCAGATTTTTTAAAAAAGGTTATTTTTTACTTTCCCACTCAAAGTGAAATTAGATGGCATTTCATTAATGAAATTAGATTGGCATAAAATAGGGGGTAATTTCTTGCTTCATTAGTGGAAATCAAATGGTATTTACACATTTCTGAAGATGGGGATGTTTATTAGACATTGTAATATTATCTAGTTAAAAATGAATGACTTGGGCCTCCCTGGTGGTGAAGCAGGTTGAACGTAGTGCTGTAAAGCTGTCCGCAGCCTCTGCAGCGTGAGTTTGATTCCCTGGCCAGGCAGATTCCTACATGGCATGGCAGACCTCTCCTGTTGTGCCCGCTGCTCTCCTCAGCAGTGTATTTTGGTCATCTGCCTGTTTTGCTCCCCACTCTGTCTCTGGTGAATCCTCTCACCCTCCTGTGCCTCTGGCCTGTACCCCAGCTCTTGTATAAAAAAAATAAAAAAATAAAATCTTAAAAAAATTAAAAAAAAATGACTTGTTTACTCATTTAATGGAACTAAATGAAGTCTTTGGGGGAGTATTTTTGAATTGATCATATTATACTATTGCTCAATAATTTGATTGAATAAACACAAATTAGTTGAAATTCCAGGTAACTATGTATGATCATTAAGTCAGCTCAACAGAAAAATATTCTGCAGGAACAATAATTATAATTGCAGGTTTTGGCCCTAGGGCATTTATCAAGAACACCAAATACCCAGGGCACCCACAAACTCTGCTTATGCCAAAAAGATTTCATAACTGAACCAAAGAAAGGATTGAAATGGACTGACCTTTGAATGAGTCTGAAATGTAGAGATCAAGACTTTTGGCTAAGTTTCAACCGCTCACATTGACTGCTTCTACTTCTATGGAGGGAATATGTTCTTGAATATTCTCTGGTGAGTTTCATAAAAAAAATATACAGAATGGTGGAAAAACCATAAATTACTTATTTGAGTGAGTGAGAGAACCAGCCACTAACATTCAACTTGTAAGACATGAGATAATATGGATGAGCTATGACTGTTTTAGTGGAAATTAGGAATCTGGGCAAGAACACTGTAAACTCCTTACATGATGGAATCATTTATGGTGTGTAATTACCTCCTCCCTACCCTTGCTTTTTTTTCTATCATGACATAGAAGAAATTCACTGTGAATTTTCCTTCTACTCATATTATACATTGACTCTTATAATAATGACTTAATAGAGATGTGAGATGTTTTCCATATCAAAAATCACAGGTAAATTGTTGAAACATGGTAGGAAATTTATAAATTGAGAATGGATCAAATATTTTAGTATGAGCAAAATAACTACATTTTCTAGCTGCACAAAATAAGGATCAAAACAAACAGATGAAGATTAAAAGAGTGTAATAAGAGACATGCTTCTTGCCTTAATCAGACATTCTTGCCTTGTTATTCAATCTAATTCACAGGGAAAAATCTGAGTTAAAGAAAATTCTGGGATGGACTTGTGAATGGCCAATTTTTTTTAAAAGCCTGAGAAAAGTCTTGACAACAAAAATAACTGGTAAAAATGATGAAATGTATCTTAAGGCATTTAGAAAAGTGTTTTATTACGTTTTTAAAAAAAAAATTTATTTATTATTTATGCATACAAGAACTCGGGTACAAGCCAGAGGTGGTAGGGGGTGAAAGGATTCACCAGAGACAGAGTGGGGAACCCAATAGGCGGACTGACTGAAATATACCTGAAATACACTGCTGAGGGGAGCAGCGGGCGTGACAGGAAAGGTCTGCTTGCCATGTGGGAAGCTTGTCTTAATTCCTTGCGTCACTAGAGAGGCCCAGTTTTGTTATATTTTAAGAACATTACATCCATCTAAATATTAAACATTATCAAAAAACATTAATACTCACCTAAAACTGTGGTAAAGATGTTGGGTTTTGATTCCCCTTTATTATATAGCACAGTGAATAATTTAGAGACAATGAAACAGTAGAATTAATTGCATAAAACCAATGAAAAATTCTAATCAATAACAAAATAATTTCATTGAAGAAAAAAGTGACCATCATTGTGTTCATAAGTTGATGCTCATCAAAAAAGACAAAAAAGGGGCCTCCCTCCCCGGTGGCTCAGCGGTTGAGCGCTGGGTTGTGAAGCTGCCCACAGCCTCTGCAGTGCTGGTTCGATCCCTGGCCACCGGGTGAGGGTCCCACATGGTGCGCAGACGTCTCCTGCCACCCAGTGTTCCCCTCAGCAGTGTACTTTGTCAGTCTGCCTGTTCTGCTCTCCGTTCTGGCTCTGGTGAATTCTCTCACCCTCCGGCGCTTCTGACTGTACCCAGTGCTTGTATAAATAAATAAATAAATCTTAAAAAAAAGACAAAAAATCCTAAATTAATATTTACAAACCAGTAAAAGAGACACATAAGTCCCTTCATTATTTTCTGCTTCTATGCTTGGTATCACATACAGTTAATACAACAGTGTATTAAGTAAACCATATAGAGATTTATAACGTAAAATGTGACAAAGTTGGTTTCTACACTTGAATGCTAACAGAGACACACAACTGGGTTAAAAATGCATGAATTTATTTTGATAGAGAAAATATATGAAGTTTTAAAGGTGAAAACATAAATAGCATTTAACCCCATTATATGGCTACTGTACTAATTATTGACAGGAGTAGATTTAAAGTAATGGAAGACCAACCAAAATAATTTTGGGTAAATCAAACACTATTTCCATGCACATGGAATGGAGATATTTTTGTTGGGTTTCTAAATATAAAATAAGCAGCATTCTCCTAGTCATTGCAATTTCTGGAGATTCAATAAACCTTACCTACCTACATGAGTAAATGTCAAGTGTCACCTTCAGAGTCTCTCCTCAATGTTGTCTAAATGTAAAGTTAATTGGTTTAATTAAACAGTATTTTTACACTCCAGGGGAACCAGTCCACAAACACACATGCACACATGTAAACACACACAGACACAATAAGGCTGAAACAATTTTCAAATAAGTTTTATTTGTGTTCAATGGACTCCATTATTGACATGTCCTCCCTAACAATCTCAGACTTAAATAATTTCCCAATGGTGTTACACAGTTCATCACAGAAGTTGTAAGTATCCATTACCCTCAGCTTTAAGTAAAATTTTCAGGTGTGTCATTGGAGTTTTCTTACATGTCTCAGAACAGACTAAGAAATCAAACTAGTAATAAACACAATCATTCTCTCACCATGCAGAAATTATTACTGTTATTTATTTCCTTATGCTCCTTATCTCTGCGTATTCCATTCTTATGCATTCACATATCCTGTGTACCTTAAGTGTTCATAATGCTACGTTTATGTTGTCCAAATGGTGGTCAGATCCACATTAGAAAAGATATTTCATACAGATAATATTCAAGAACATCTAAAACATTGTCATGAAAACCATTCGATTATACTTTTAGGATTTGTCAAAATTTTTGCTATTTTGCTAATTTTATTGTTTAATATTTATTTATTTTCTTATATTATTGTTAATTTTTAGACAGTATTTTATTCCTTCCCTCATGTGCAGTCTCCATACACATAGCACCTGTGATGCATCCTGACAGTCCCTTATGCTCTTCTCTCCCATGTTTCCATGTTTGTGTGCATCAAATCTATGGACTGCTTGCAAATTTTGTCTTCATCCTGACCCTTTGTTCAGTTTCTCTGTATTTTACATATAAATTAAACTATTTGATATTTATCTCTTTTTTTCTGACTTATTTTGATTAGCATAATCCCTTCCAGCTCCATCCATGTTACCACAAATGACATGAGTTTATTTATTGTTTTTTTGATCACTGAGTAGTATTCCAATTTGTATATACAACACATCTTCTTGATCCATTCATATGTTTGGGAGCATTTAGTTTATATCCATTCTTGGCTATTGTAAATAAACTGCAATAAACATAGGAGTGCAGTTTTCCATTAGAATTACAGTGTGTGTTCTTTGGATAGATTCTTAGGAGTGGAATTGCTGAATCACATGGTAGATCCATTGTTTTGAGAAACCTCCAGATAGTTCTCCATAGTGCTGCACTACTTTTAAATGAACATAATTTCCTTAATACTAATTGTCAGATAACATTATTTAAATGTCATCCAGATATAAAGTTACATGGTGTAGGTTGCAGACTTTCAAATCTTCAGCTCAAAAATTTGCCCTTTCTCAGAAAGTATGCATGAATTTGATGTACTATATACATGTTTTAATTTCATTTCTTTATTTAATTTTACAAAGTATATATCATATCTATTAATTTTTAATTTTATCAATTTTTTACAGTACATTTAATTTGTAACATTATATAAGATTGGGGCCTCCCTGGTGGTGCAAGAGGTTAAGCAACACACTGTGAAGTAATCCACAGCCTCTGCAGTATGAGTTCGATCACCAGCCAGCCAGGGAGAAACCCACATGGCGAGGCAGACCTCTCCTGTCTCACCCACTGCTCCCGTCAGTAGTGTATTTCAGTCAGTCTGCCTGTTCTGTTCCCCACTCTGTCTCTGGTGGATCCTCTCACCCCCCACATCTCTGGCCTGCACTCCAGCTCTTGTATGCATTAATAAATCTTAAAAAAAAAGAAACTTCATGTCCACCTTTGCTGACACCAAGGTGAGTTAAGTGAAATAAATTTCAAATGGTTTCCATCTTGTTTTGCAGCCAACAGCACTTGTTAATTAAGAAGGACTATGGCTAATATCACTCTGAGTGGGTTTTTTCTGATGGGATTTTCTGCCAAACCTGAGGTAGAGATCTTACTTGCTTCTCTGTTCTTAGTCTTATACATGGTGGCATTAACCGGCAATATCCTCATTATCATCGCAACTTCCATGGACAATAGTCTCCACTCACCCATGTATTTCTTCTTAAAACATCTCTCCTTTCTGGACCTGTGCTACATTTCTGTCACTGTGCCAAGGTCCATTTATAACTCTTTTGTGCATGGTGGCTACATTTCCCTTGGGGAATGCATAGTGCAGTGCTTTGCTTTCATTCTCTGTGGTTCTGCTGAGATATCCATGCTCACAGTGATGTCCTATGACCGCTATGTGGCCATCTGCTTTCCACTGCGCTACGAAATCATTATGGATGTCAGCAGATGTGTTCAAGGACTCTTAGGCGTCTGGATCAGTGGGGTCATTTCTGGAGCCATGCATGCAGCTGCCACTTTCTCCATGAACTTCTGTGGTTCCCAGATTCACCAGTTCTTCTGTGACATCCCTCAGATCCTGAAACTCTCTTGTTCTAATGAGTATATCAATGATATTGGAGTCACTGTCTTCGCAGCAATTATGGCCTTTCTTTGTGTCACCTTTATTGGTATGTCCTACATCCAGATATTCTCTACTGTTCTCAGGATGCCATCTGCTGAGGGCAGAGCTAAGGCCTTTTCCACTTGCCTTCCCCATCTTGCCGTGATCATATTATTCATTTCAACAGTCTCTTTTGAGTTTCTCAAGCCACCCTCTGACTCTCCAAGTGCACTGGACATTTTTCTCACTATTATGTATACAGTTGTTCCCCCAACACTTAATCCAATGATCTATAGCCTGAGAAATAAAGCCATAAATGTCGTACTAAGAAAGGTATTCCGAAGAAGAAAAGCTAACCTCTTTTGTTGAATTTAGATTTTTTTTTGGTTGTTGAATAGTCTTTTGTTTGAATACAGTTTTGTGTATGGAGTGATACTTAGGTATAATCCAATTATTTTGCAGGTGGTTGTTCAGTTTTGCCAACACCATTTATTGAAGACATTTTCTGATTTATTTTTTAATGTTCTTGGCTCTTTGTCTTAAATTTCCTGGGGATATAAGTATGCATATATTTATGAACTCTTTATGTTGTTCCTTTGATTCGTGTAGCTTTTGTTATTGTAGTATACTGTTTGATATCAGGGAGGTGGTACTTCCATTTTTGTTTTTCCCCTTTGATATTGCCTTGCATTTTGTGGTTCTGTACAAATTTCATTTATTCAATTTCTGTGAAATATGCCATTAAATTTTTGATAGGAATTATATTGAATGGGTAATGACTTTAGGTAAGATGGCGATGTAAACAATGTTAATATGTCTGAATTCAGAAATCCTTGGGGACCGCTCTGTCCATTGGGATAGGCAACATCAGGATATAGTATATCCAAGAATGGAAGACAGAGAGAAAGGAAGAGAAAATATTTATAAAATATAGAGGAAAACATCATAAACCTTGGAAGAAAGTAAATATATTATTTCATAAAGCTAAAAGAACACCTGATTTTCTTAATGTAATGAAAACTACACTAAGTACATATTCATGAAACAATCAAGAGTTCAGGACAAAGAAACAATAACATGATTAACTAGGCAAAAGAGTTGGTGACCTACAAAGAAAATCAAATATGCTTGACATATTCTCGGAAGAATGAAATGCAGTAATTTCCAACAAAATGGAGGGGGTTTGAAAAAATTGTACACAGCACTACTAATCAGAATTAGAAAAACAAATACTGGATATTCATATAAGAGATAATTCAACATAAAACTCATTAAAATTCCTGGGCATCAACAAATATATATTTTTTAAAAGGACTCATTTATTTATTTATGCAAGAACCGGGGTACAGACCAGATGCATGGGACGGTGAGAGGATTCACCAGAGACAAAGCGGGGAACTGAATAGGCAGACTGATGAAATACACTGCTGAGGGGAGCAGCGGGTGAGACAGGAGAGGTCTTCATGCCATGTGGGACGCTCACCGGCCAGCTGGGATCGAACCGGCGCTGCAGAGGCTGCGGACAGTTTCACAGTGCAGCGTTCAACTGTGGGCACCACAAGGGGAGGCCCTCAAAAAATTTCTTGAGGTGTCTGATGTTAAAGAGTGAGTGGGGAGGAAAAAGACCAGGGGACACAAAGGATGGTGGCAGTGGTGGGGGGAAATAAAAGAAAAAAGTTCAGTTTACTAAAGTTCAGAAACTGCTTTGTAATTTTGAGATTTCTTTTTCAAATTGTGTAGGACACAAGTTATAACTATTTTGACTGCATTCTTAAGACAAGCCTGTTTAACTCATGGGTTTTGATTTTAGATGTCAGTATAACTGGTTATTTCTTCTTTGCTCTTTTAACTACATTAAGAAGCAGTTCTATAAAACCAAAGTTACATAATGTGTTGTCAGTTTTAGAACCTATGGAAAGGCAATATGTTTGCTAGTGATAGCACTAAGAGGGTGAGTGGAAGCAGAGTTTATGAGGCTAGGGAAATAATGGTAAAATGAATCAATAGGAAGAGAGTAAAAATATCATAAATGACAAGTAAGGTGACTATAACAAAAGCTATACATGTCTGCATGGTCTCCTTTCTTCTCTTAGTTGATCAAAAGATACATAAATGAAGCAGGAAGTCTGTAAGTCTGTGGCTAGGAGTCTGCTGCTTGCTGGAGCTGAGAGTTCCTATGCTGTGCTGCTTGACCACAGTCGCAGCCATGGCTCCCTTGACCCTCCTTCTCAAACAATAAAGAAAGTTTATGATGAACAGGGTGACAAGCTTTCACATACAAACTGTATAAAACCTGACCAGTCTTGCAATTCAGGGCTCAGACTTGTGGGAGCTATCTCTTTGAGCCCGCCTGTGTGACAAATGAATCTCTCTCTCTCTCTCCTCCAATCTGAGTGGCTTCTGATTTCTCTGGAAAATTGCTGTCACATAATTATGTAAATTGATATGTATAATAATATATTGCTGAAGTTTCAATATTGATTGAACATACACCGACGTATCACAAATCAAGTTAGATAAATGTGAAACTGCATTTGTGTTAAGAAACATAAATGTGTATATGGTAAATCCATCATCAATCTGTGATGTCACATAATTAGAAAGATGTACTTGGTATTTGTCCTCTGTTCCTGTCACAGTTTGCCAAAACGCATGTCATTCCCTAAGTGGTAGAGTGGGAAGAGTATCTTGTTCTTCAGAAGCCCTTTTTGATAATGACTCATTTATGTTGATAATATGACTCAATGTGGGCACTTAAGTAACTTCAGAATGGTGTTTGTTTGCTAGAGAACAGCCATGCGATTAGAATGTGAACCATTCAGTCCTACTTCTCACCTCTGAAGAGGAGAAGGAAATTGAAGGGTGAATTAATTGCCAATAACCAATAGTTTAAACAATATTGTCTATGTGATGTCACCACCAATGAAACTTAAACAGCTGAGATTCAGAGAGTTTTGAATTGTGGACCCCAAGGAGGTGCTGGGAAGTTGTTCTGACAAGGAAGGCAAGAAAATTCTACTCTCTATCCCAAATCTTGTCCTGTATCTCTTTGTATTTCTGATTTGTATTTATTCTAATAAATCACTATTAGTTAGAAATAGACCATTCTGAGTTCTGTGAGCTACTCTAGAATATTATTGAAGGGAAAACTTGGAACCCCCAATAATAGCTAGTAGATCAGACATGTAAGGACCTGGATATTCAGGTGGTGTCGGTAGAGACATTCTCATGGAAGGGAATGGTAACCTGGGGGCCTGATTCTATGTCTCACTTTTGTGATGTAGAAGTGTTGAGAAAAACCAGGTACTCTGAATACCCTGCAATATTTACAATAACTAAGATATAGAAATAACTTAAATGTCCTAATAGAGACAAATGGATCGAATGGTATAGCATATATGCAAAATGGAATACTACTCAGCAATCAAAAAGATAAACTCATGGCAACATGGATGGAGCAGGAAGGGATTGTGCTCAGTGAAATAAGTCAGAAGAAAAAAGGAAAATATTGGATGGTCTCCCTTATAGGGGGGATATAGGAAACCTAACAAAAGATCAGGAAAAATAAAAACTCACAGGCAAACCATAGACTCGATGCATATGCAGGGGAGGGAGTGTAAGAGAGGTAAAGACAGGGGAGGGACAAGCACAGGATGCTATGGTGATGGTTGACAGATGATGTGATGGTGGGAGAATTACGGGGGCTACACCTGAGGGGAGAAATCAAATATTGTACAAAAATGGACAATGCTGTAAGAACATAAATAAATAAATAAATAAACAAACAAACAAACAAACAAACAAACAAATAAATAAATAAACTAATTAACCACACACACAAATACTATAAAATCCACCCCTCATATTTTTCATCTAGGATTGCCCTGCTATGAAACTCAATTCCTTTCCAGTTTATGAGTATTTCTCATCACAGTACTTTTTCACTTTATTTCATTTGAAAGAAAACTATTAAAAAAGATGTATGTTTCACTTTTTGAAAGATATTTGGATCAGCTACAACTCAGATGGACCTAAAAGGTAAAAAAAAATGAGTGTATATCTGGCCAAAAAATAATTGGTAATTTCTTACTTCCACACTCAAAGTGAAATTTGATTGTCATTTAGTGGCATAAGATTAGCAAGTAATTTTTTGCTTCTTCAGGAGTCATCAAATGGTATCTACAGTTTTTCAGAAAAAGGCGATGTTTTTAGACATTGTAATATCATCTGCTTAAAATTAAGTTAATGACTTGCTGATTCATATGCTATAATATCTTTTCAATAATTTGGTCCAATAAGCACAAATACAATGAAATTCCAGGTAACTAGGTATATAATTAAGTCAGTTCACCAGGAAAATACCCCACAGTGAATATAATTGCAGGTTTTGGTCCCAGGGTATTTATAAAGAACACTAAACACTCACTGCACCCAGAAACCCTGCTTGTGCCAAGAAGGTCTTAATAACCTAATCTCCAGAGGACAAAAAGGGGGGATTGAAATGGACTTATTTCTTTCTCCACGGTTCATATTTTCTGAATGTGACTGATATGCAGAGATCAGGACTTCGGGTTAATTGTGAATGGCTCACACTAACAATTCATTTCTGTTGAGGGAAGATGTTCTTGAATAAACTCAGGTGAGTGCAATTTCCACCTCCTTAAAATGGTTTTCTTTCTATAAACATCATAGAAGTAATTCACTGTGAATATTCCTTTATTCACATTATATGTTGGCTTTTAAAATACTGAATTACAAGAGCTATGAGAGGTTTCACAAATCACAGGTAATTGTTAAAAAATGGTAGGAATATTTATAAAATGAGACTGGTCCTATTATTTTATTGAGAGCAAAGTAGCTACATTTTCTGTCTTCAAAAAGTACTACCAAAAGAGTACAGATAAAGACTGGAAGAGTATAATAAGAGACATGCTTCTTGTCTCCATTCTCTACAACCTTCTTATTCATTCTGATTCTTAGGGAAATCTGAGGAAAAAAAATCTGGAATGGACTTGTGAATGGTCAAACTTTTTTAAAGAAAAACTGATGAACATCTTGACAACAAAATTAACTGGTAAATATCATTAAATGTTTGTTAATGCATTTAGAGAAGTCTTTTGTTGTGTTTTGAAAAACATTGTATCCACCTAAATAATAAACATTGTTTAAACACACAAATAATGACCTAAAACTGGTATGATGTTGGATTTTGAATTCTGTTTTTTGTATGGCAAGGTGAATAATTTGGAGATAATGAAATCATAGAATTAAAGATGTAAAACCAATGTAAAAATTTGATTAACGATTAAAGAAGGAATTTCATTAAAATGTGGCCACCATTATGTTCATAAATTGATACTCATAAAAAGGAAAAAATATGAAATAACTTAAAAGACACTGAAGTTCCCTCATTATTTTCTGCTTCCACACTTTGTGTTTTTTAAGATCTGTTTATTTATGCATACAAGAGCTGAGGTACAGGTCAGAGGTGAGGGAGGATGAGAGGATTCACCAGAGACAGAGTGGGGAGAAGAACAGTCAGATTGACTGAAAATACTGCTGAAGGGAACAGCGGGAGAGATAGGAGAGGTCTGCTGCACCATGTGGGTATCTCCCTGGCTGGTGGGGATCAAACTGGTGCTGCAGAGGCTGCAAATAACTGCATAGTGCTGTGTGTAACCCCTTGCACCACCAGAGGGGACCTACTTCCACACTTTGTATCACAGTTGATTTACAGTATATTAAGTAAGATTTAGACAGATATTGATAACCCATAGTGTGACAAAGTTGTTTTTACACATCTGCATGCTAAGACACACACAATTGTGTTAACGTACATATAGATTTTATTTTTTAAAAGAGAGAAAAGAAATATAAAGTTTTAAAGATGAAAAAAAATCTGCATTTAATTCTGCTATGTCTACTAATTATCAGCAAGAATAGATTTAAATGAATGGAAGACCAACCAAATATTTCAGGGAGAGTAAATCAAGCACTATTTCCATGTATATGGAATGGAGACTCATTTGTTGTGTTTCTAAATAGAAAATAGTCAACATTCTTTCAGACATAGAAATGGAAATTTCTGGAGATTCCACAAACCTTCCTAGATGAGTAAATATGTCATTATAATCTCTATCAATTTCACATGTCATCATCTCTTCAATTGTATCTAAATATAAAATGACTGTTTAATCTTACAATGTTTTAACACTGTAGTGGAACACATCCACACACACACCCACACACACAAAGCCCTCAGTGCCCGTCTCCCCCGCCCCCACAAGCTAAACAAATTTTCAAATAAGTCTTACTTGTGTGTGCAAGGAACTCCCTTATTGGGTCAAGTCTTTTCCATCAACCCATGTAATTTCCCAATGAAATCACACAGTACACTTAGAAGCTATACACATCCATCACTCTTAGCTTTAAGTTAATTATTCAGGGCACTCATGGAGATTGTGCTGGAAAATGAAAAAGCAGGATCATTTCCTATGTGTCTCAGGACAGGCTAACAACTCTGTAAACCAGCAATAAACAGAATCATTCTCTTGCCATTCAGAACTTTTTATTGTTATGTATTTTATTTCCTTATACTCTTTATTCTCTGCTTATTCCATTGCTATGTATTTACATATCCTGAGAAAGTGTTTCTAATATGTTACTAATTATCAGATAACATAAAATGTCATCTAGATATAAAGTTACATGGTTAAGTTGCAAATTGTTTCAAGTCTTCTACTAAATAATTTTCTCTTTCAGAATGTATGCACACATTTGACATTACTATGTATGTTTTAGGTACATTTCTTTATTTTTATGAAGTACATATATATCAATTAAATTTTAATGTTAACAATTTTATTGCAGTAAGATTTGTTCAAAACACTATATAAGACTTAGCAGTTAGATTCATACTGCTTCAGATGTATGACACCATTCAATGTCTTTTTTCATAATTAACAGCACTGAGTATTTTAGTTTACTTACAAAAAATGAGAGCAAATGACACTTTAATGTGTTTATTCATTATATTGTTTTCTTATAAAAATACACTGGGGTAAGTCTGTCTTTTACTTTATCCTTTGGGATTAGTAACTTAAGATAAATTATGAAATGACAATAGTTACTTACATATGGTAATTACTGTATATGCACTGTCAACTTGGTATCTCACAATTTTAATTTTATTTGTTTAAATATTTGTTTAGAAGAAAAAAATAAGAGATTTTCTTCTCATATAAAATAAAAATATAGTATTATAATAATAAATCCATTGCAATTGGAATGATATAAAAACAAGATGATTAATGAAAATTAATATTACCTAAGAAACATTTAAGAACATGAGCATATGAACTATATTAAATTTTAATATAAATCAAAATTCAATGCACCATGCTCCTGATCACAAGATCATATACTTAAAAATATATTTATTAACTTAACTTTATATGTTCATTTTTTCCTTTCCTTTCATTGAAATGGGGAATGATCAAATTTATCATCTTCCTTACCCATGTTTTCACGGCTGAGTGTAAATAATTAAAATTTGCTTGAAATGATTATTAGTATAGAGAACTAATTTCACATTTATGTTCAAGTGTGATTTCTTTAATTAACTACATGCCTACCTTGACTGAGTTGGAGGTGGGTTAGGTGGTCAAGTAACATCAAATTTCAATGGTTACTATCTTGTCTTGTAGCCAATACACATGAGAAATTAAGAAGGACTATGGCTAATAACACTCTGAGTGGGTATCTTCTGATGGGATTTTCTGCCAAGCCTAAGCTAGAACTCGTCCATGCTTCTCTGTTCTTAGTCATATACATGGTGGCGTTAACTGGCAATATCCTCATTATCACAGCAACTTCCATGGACAATAGTCTCCACTCACCTATGTATTTCTTCTTGAAACATCTCTCCTTTCTGGACTTATGCTATATTTCCGTGACTGTGCCAAGGTCCATTTGCAACTCTTTCATGGGTAGTGGCTACATTTCACTAGGTGAATGCATAGTGCAGTGTTTTGCTTTTGTTCTCTGTGGATCAGCTGAGCTCTCCATGCTCACATTGATGTCTTATGATCGCTATGTGGCCATCTGCATTCCACTGCGCTACGAAATCATCATGGATGTCAGCAAATGTGTTCAAGGAGTCTTAGGCGTCTGGATAAGTGGGGTCATTTCTGGAATCATGCACACAACTGCCACTTTCTCCACACACTTCTGCAGTTCCCAGATTCACCAATACTTTTGCGACATCCCCCAGCTCTTGAAACTCTCTTGTCCTAATGAGTATATCAGTGAAATTGGAGTCATTGCCTTCTTTTCTTTTATGTCATTACTTTGTGTCACCTTTATCGGTCTGTCCTACACACAGATATTCTCTATGGTGCTGAGGATGCCATCTGCTGAGGGCAGAGCTAAGGCCTTTTCCACTTGTCTTCCCCACCTCACTGTTGTTATTTTGTTTATTTCAACCAGTGTCTTTGAGTTCCTCAAGCCACCTTCGGACTCTCCAAGTGCACTGGACATTTTTCTCACAATTATGTACACAGTTGTGCCTCCAACACTCAACCCAATGATTTATAGTCTGAGAAATCAAGCCATGAAGGCAGCTCTAAAAAAGACTTTCCAAAGAAAAAAAGCCTGACTCTTTTGTCAAGACTCATCTGTTAATTTTTGGTTGAGACAAATGTTCAAAGTATATTGGAAAAACTATAGATTTAGGTATATAGAAACAATTGAAAATGAAGAGTTTATAAGAAAATTATGGTTGAGGACTGAAGTCCCAGAACAACCTTCAGGTATTCTGGAGGAGCTGTCCAAACTTTGAGCTTCTAAATGAAGATTTTATACAGATTGCAAGGGAAACATGTCAAAGGTCTGGGAAGGTACCTGGTTAATGGATCTATCCAATATAGTCTATGCATTGAGGAAGACAAGATTTATTCAAGCTTTTCCTATTGAAACCTCTATCTTCAGGGAACAGGGAGTTTTAATCTTGCCTTAGACCTCGAAGTCTGTTGTTTTGTTTTGTTTTTGAGGTTAGTGATTTGTACAGAGGGAAAAATTTTCAAAATACTGCTTTTTCACAAAGAACTTGTTTCTTCACAGTTTCAGGTCCTGGCCAGCTGGATGTTACCTCTGGTCTTATGCCCCTTTGTTGGAGCTAGGAGGAGTTGAATCCAAATTGTTAACTTAGGTTAACTAGACATAACACAGTAAACCAGATATTCTAAAACTAAATACAGAAATGAGCTTAGTGAAAGTGTCATTGTATGTGCTCTCTGAGTAACACAAATATTCACACATGTAGTTTATAAGCATTACTCCTGCAAACTGGTAGATTACAGTCTTTCCACAATGGTGAACTTTTCACTTCTTCTGTTCACAACAAATGAAAGGAGCTACACTCACTTCTCCCCAGACTCTTGGAGTTGAAATAAATCTCCTTTCTCCAATTGAAAGTATTTAATTCCATCTTTAAATGTAATTTTAAAAAATTACTGTAAGGAGGGCCAGCAGTGCTTCTTGGTTCAATCAAAATTTGTGATTTCAAAAGTGAGAGTCCTGTCCTTCAGAATATTTTCTCTTTCATTCTCCCAGAATGTTCCATATACTAGTTCATACATACAGCTATTTAACATCTTTTGATGAATGTAGAGATATATTTTAATGTACTTCCAAAATATATTACCATGAGTCAGAATTTAGTAAGGTAACTCTAGTTCAATTGCTTTTATTTCCCTTTATATTGGGTTCCAAACCCCAGAGTCATCTCTAAGTCTGTTGTAAATGAGATTATTGTCTATGCTTTCTTCCATGTATGTTATGGTTTCCATTTTTCCCTAAGGTTGATGTCAAAAGATTTATATAAAGAGTTTTATCCCAATGTATTTTAAAGTTTCAGGGTATACTTTTAAGTTTTTATCCATTTTCAATGAAGTTTTGTGTATGGGGCAATATCATGGTATAATTAGAGTTTTTTTTACAAGTGGACATCCATTTCTACCAACATCAATACCATTTATTGACGACACCTTCCTATTTTCTTTTGTATGTTCATGGTTCATTGTCATAAATTAGCTGATGATGTAATTGTGTAGATATGTATGAGTTCCCTAAGCTGTTACTTTTATTCCTGTGCCTATTGTTATTCTGGTATAATGTTTTGATAACTAAAACTTTTCTTAGTATTTTTTTGAAATCAAAGAGGTGTTACTTCCGTTTTTATTTTTTCCCACTTAATATTACTTTGATTATACATGATCTTTTGTAGTTCTGAATAAATTTTATTAGTTCAATTTCTTTGTTAAATATCATTGAAACTTTGACAGAAATTGCATTGAATGTGCATATGACTTTAGATATCACAACCATTTTAACAATGTCAAAATCCTTGAATGAAGAAACACTTGGATACCTATAGGTCCACTGGGAAAGGCAACATAAGGATATAAGGTATTTGAAAAGGCAAGACAGAAGAATGAAAGAGAATTTATCAGAAAATATAGAGGAAAACTTGCTAAGTCTGGGAAAGGAATTAAATGTATGACTTCATAAAGCTAAAAGAATACCTGGTTATCTGATAAAGTAGACTTCTAACTAAAATTAGTACCAAGAAAAAGAAATGGACATTGTATGTGACTAAGGGATCAATACAGAAGGAGGACATAACACTCCTCATTATATATAGACCGCATGAAGGAGCAGGAATATTTAAAAGGTAATCACTATAAAATTTGAAATCATATATTGGTGACAACAAAATAGTAGTAGGAGACTTACACACCTCACTTTCAATAAAGGAAAACTATTGTCATAATATATAGCTGATAAGGGATTATATCCATAATATATAAAAAATGTATACAACTCGTACAATGAAACAATAAAGCCAAATACCCCAATTAGCAAATGGGCAGCAGATATGAACAGACAATTCACTAAAGAGGATATTCAGAAAGGCAAAAGGTAATGAAAATATGTCACCATTACTTCCACTAAGAGAACTGTTGCAAAAAAAAAATAAAGAGAACTACTGCATAAAATTACAATGAGGTACCACCTTACACCCGTGCGAACGGGATATGTCAAGTATCCGGACAACATGTGTAGGAGAAGATGCAGAGAAAAATGAACCCTATTATTGTTAGTGGGAATGTGAACTTGTGAAACCATATGGATGGCAATTTGTATTTATCTTAAATATAAAAAGTGTGTGTGATCCAGTAATCCTGCTCTTGGGCATAGAACAACAGAATATGAAACCACCAACAAAAATACCTCAGATTCTCTACAAAATTTACAGCAGCATTATTTACAACTGCTAGGACATAGACACAGTCTAAACCCCCTTTAGTGGCTAAATTGATTGCTAAGATGTGGCACATGCATTCCATAAAATAATACATATTGTCACAGAAACATTAATTCCAAAGAGCACCTGCACCCCTATGTTTATAGCAGCACAATTTAAAATAGCTAAGCTTTGGAAACAGCCCAAATGCCCAAAAATAGATGACTGGATCAAGAAGATGTGGTACATATACACAATGGAATATTACTCAGCATTCAAAAAAGATAAACACATGCAATTTGCAGCAACATGGATGGAGCTGGAAGGGATGATGCTCAGCGAAATAAGCCAGAAAGAAAAAGAAAAATACCGGATGGTCTCACTCATAGCAGGAATCTAGAAAACCTAAATAAGGGACCAGGAAAAAGAATAACCATAAGAAAGAAAAAAATCAAAATCAACAAACAACTATGTACCAGAGACATAATTTGGGTGGGGGGAGGAGGGATTGGGGTCAAAATCAGGGGGTTGCAATTGTATGAGGAATATAAAAATAAAAAAAATTAAAAATAATACATATTGTCAGAGAAGAATGAAACACAGCAAATTCAAACAAAAGAGGGAATTTGAAAAACATTATATGCAGTATTGAAATCAGAATTATAAAAACAAATATTGGACATTCAAATAAAAATAATTCAACAACATAAAACTCTTTCAAAAACCCTGGACATCAACACACATCTTGAGGGTCTGAGGTTAAAAAGAGAGTGGGGAGGGAAAAGGACAGGGACACATGGGGTGGTGGTAGGACAAGAAAAGTGACAGGTTCAATGTACTAATCTTAGAATTGCTCTGTAATTTTGAGATTTCTTTTTCAAATAAACAAATAGTTGTGTAGGACATAAAGTTAAATTGCATTCTCATTGCATTCCTCTAGACAATCTTGTTAAACTCATGGGTTTTGATTGTAAAAAAATGTCATCATAACTGTATTTTTCTTCTTTACTCCTTTAACTACATGAACAAGGAGTCCTATAAAAAGAAAAGTAGGGGGCCTTCTTGTGGTTCAAGGGGTTAAGAAGCAACCTATGAAGCTATTGGCAGCCCTGCAGCACAAGTTCGATCCCCAGCCAGGGAGCTACCCACATGGTGCAGCAGACTCTCCTGTCTCGCCTGTTACTTCCTTCAGCAGTGTCTTTCAGTCAGTCCGCCTCTTCTGTTCCCCACTCTGTCTCTGGTGAATCCTCTCACCCCCCCACACACCTCTTATATGCACAAATTAATAAATCTTAAAAAAAGAAAAAAGAAATGTATATAATGTATTGCAAGGTTTAAACCATGGAAAAGCAATAGTTTTGTCTAAGTACTAAGAGAGTGAGTGGAAGCAGAGTTTGTGAGGCTAGGGAAATAATGGTAGATTGAATCATCAGGAATAAAGGAACAGTACCATAAGTGACAAGTAAGGTTACTATAAAAATATTTTCATACTTATGGAACTCGTGCTGCAGAGGCTGTGGACAGCCTCACAGGCTGCGTTTTAACCACTTGTGCCACCAGGGAGGCCCAAAAAGTGAATACTTTTCCATTTCCTTTGGGAAATTATACTTTTCAGATGAATTTTTAGCATCCTTTGTGTGAATGACAAATGTTTATTTGTATATCATAATTATTGCATACCTAGTGTCAATTAACTTCATAATTTCATTCAATGAGAAAATACATAGAAGAAAATAAAGAGGACATTTTCCTCTCTTATATAAAATTAAATTATTAAAATACAATTATAAATCCATTGTACTTAGGATGGCATATGAATAGGCAGACTGATTGGTGAGAAATTGAAACATTTGTAAATATGAGTGTAAGGACTGTACAAAACTTTTTTAATATAAATCAACATTGAATGTTTCATCACTCCATTAATAAAATTATGTATTTTAAAGATCTTATTAATTTTTACTTCCATTGATTTTTCATTTTCTTTTTTTGAAATGGGCAATCCCATAACTTAGAATCTTGTTTACCCATATTTTAATAACTGGGTTTGTATTTTAAAATTGCTTGACATTATTACTCTGTGGAACTACTTCACATTTGTGGTTGTTGTGATTTCATCAAATGTCTTCTTGCCAAACTTGATTGATTCAAAGGTAGGTTAGTAGGTAAGTAATGTTCTTTCCACTGGTTCCATCTTGTCTTGCAGCCAACATCACTGGGAATTTAAGAAGGACTATGGCTAATCTCACTCTGAGTGGGTTTCTTCTGAAGGGATTTTCTGCCAAGCCTGAGCTAGAATTCATCCATGCTTTTCTGTTCTTAGTCTTATACATGGTGATATTAATTGGCAA